TGAAGGACTAATGTTTGTGACAGCATTTTAAGGATTTGTGTGAAAGAAACAGTTAATACAGCAACAGATCCAGTCAGGCTTCCCCAACTACTGAAGCAGTATTGGCAAGCTTACATGAGAACAGCAGCAGTACTTTCCTCCTCATCTTTTCCAATCGCTTGACCAGGTTCTTCAGCCTTCCCACTGTAAGAGGGACAGCCATCTCATGGTGGCAAAAATGAAATTAGCAGGTGACCTGTCAGAGGCTTTGTCAGAAGGAAGCACACACCTGCTTGAATGCAGACTGTCTCCTTCCACTTCTGAAAGTGACTGGGTTTGTTTTCTCTCATATACTGGTGTTTATATTGCTCTTGCATTGCTTTGAACATAGCTGGGACACCCCACCTCAGTCAAGGTTGCTGCAATGATCATTATCAGACTTTGTCCCCTTCTCGCAGAGGCAGCCTAGTGCCAGGATCCCGCACCCCGGGCGTTAACTATTTCATTCCATGTGTGGTTTTTAATTTTATTTTTTGTTCCAAAAAAGGTCAGATATCTTGATATTGATTACACCTCAGCTACTACTCTGCTCTGAGGCCAGCACCCATCACCAGAGCTGGGCTGTCTCAGCTACACATACAGAAATCATTTTAAAGTCTGACCTTCAATCACTGTAATCAATAGGTGGAGAGACACCACCAATATTTTGAGGGGCAGCAGATCAAGAGACTCATTGGGACAGAAAACAGCAGACAGGAAGATGCAGTCCCAGGCAGCCTGTGCCTCAAAGCATTCCCTGCCTCCAGCAGCCACTGCCCAGCGCGGTGCTACACAGCACACCTGACTGGCAAAAACAGCCAGTCTTGTGCAGCACATTAATTATAATCCTGTGATAAAATTTCTAGAAAAGGAATTCAGCAGGGAAATTTACAGAAGCAACAGAGGACATTGATTCTTTCTTATGTCAAGGAAGGGTACTAATTATTTGCTATCCCATTAGAGTTTAATATGTGTAATATATATCTTTTCTTTCAATGCATTACTACTTGTGTTATTATCAATAAAGTCCTTATTCAAGCCAGTTACAACTTCCACTTTTTAAAAGTAGTGTCACAGAGTTATGTACAGTGATGTTTTATTTTCAAGAGCTATTTCAGGTAATTGCTTTGACTAAAGTTGGCTTCAACACTGAAAGAAACTCTTTGAACAAGGGTTAATCTTGTTTCAGGGAAGAAGTTAAACAAAAGAAAATCACCGAGGCTTAGAACAAGAGTCCTGCAACAGTTCAGATTTAATCTTGTTAGCTCAGTAAGTATACTACAATTATGGCTATAAACTCCAAGATATAACTTCCACTTTCATTATCAATTAAAAACTACTAATTAAACTGGACACTAAGACCAATGGTAAAAAATGAATGCTCCGAACAAGATTTTCTTCCACTACTCTATATTTATTGATACACTTGCTTGTTGCATTTTCCTAAAGCTTATTGTTTTGGATTCTGGGTCAGAAAGGAACACAAAATTCTGCCTGAATGTTACCTAAAGCTCTGCAGTTACCAGGAAACTGTCATTTTAAACCTTCTGCAGCTAGAACTTGTTCACACAACATGTTTATGAAGCATCAGCTGCTACAAAATGCTATAGTTACAGTACCACGCACAAGATATATCTTAATTCCTAACACTGTTCCCCACTTTCATCTTTTTCCAACATATGTTTTTCCTCAAATTCTCAGTCTCCTTGCCCAGCCACAACCCTTCTACCCCTTCAACACAGATCTCCCCTTTCTATGAGATCCTTCTCTAACAACCATCACCTCCCGGCAAGCCCTTTAGACTCCAGTCCCTTTCCATTCCCCTTCACCCCCTCGTTCCTGACCTACTGGCTCAGTGAGTCTTAACATTTTCAAGTCTGGCTTTGAGTCTGCTGCTATTTCACTTCCTATCAGTCCCATCTCCAGTCCTAATCACCCTGCCTGCCTCGCCGCTACACAAGCCAGCCAAGGTGCCCAAAACCTCACCTCCCAACAAGGTCCGACCATCTGTGAGGGGACTTTGAGAGCACACAGGATTAATGCTTCCAGTCCTCAACTGTGTATCCAAACCCAGAACGACACGCAGTAACTCAGACTCAACAGTTACAGAAGAGTCCTGTTCACCATGAAGGACATGTTTGAGGGAACTAAGCCACAAAGCATTGCAGTTTCTACCAAGAACCATTAAAGTGAGTTTTCAATGGCTCCTCGCTTGGTTTGCCATAGCAAGAGGAATACGCCTGACTCGTAAAGGGTCAGTGCCACAACTGGTGCCAAGCACCTAATACCAAAGATGCTTAGAAGCAGAGCTCACTAGAGTGGCACAAGACTGAACACTTAAACAGTGCACGTACAGACACTGCCACAAGTACCTGGGCAGCCACTGCAGGAAGTCTGGGCTGAAATGGCTGGTTCCGCAAAGTCACAAATAACAGAGTAAGGGACTGAAAGAGAAGTGCTCAATAACCTTCAGGAAGAGGTGATATAAACCTGAACTAAACTATCAGGACAGCTACATCAGGCTGCAAAGATGCATTTCACTATTATCCTTCCACGCAGAACGAGAGGAGCGTTTTCTGATAATCTGTAAGCATTCCCATCCAGAAGCTGTGTAAAACGCTCTTCTGCTAAGAAATTATTTAAGTCAAGACAAAAGATTAACAAGTCAGAGGAAGTAAGAAAAGGAACTAGAAGTGGAAGAACAGAAGAGAGATTAAGAGAGCAGCTCTGCTGCTATCGCGTGTTTAACACACTTGGAAAGATACGTGCACACAGGTGCTGTATTTACAACCAGCAACCAACTGGGACCGACAGCTTGCTGGAGCTGTGCTTTCACCAGTCGCATTCACGAGCGGTCACGCAAATTGCTGCCATATCACTTCCAGGGGAACATCGCTTTTGAAAGCCAGTATCAATTTCATACAAGGGTCTATAAAAAGAACAAGGAAAGAGTTTTGATGCATGTATTAACATGACAACGTTGAATTCCATTAAATAAATTCTGCGAAAGAAACAGGAGAAGTAAAAATATTTGACATACTCAACAGCACAAGTCAACAAAAACCATCACAGAGCACAACACAAAATCAGTGATGGCGTATGTTCAGCAGCAGATCATTGGCCCTAAATCTCGAATTTGTGAATTCATTTATTTCCCTGCAGGCAAAGAATAAGAGATCTTAACACAGCATGCAGAAATGTGACACCAAGGATGCTTCAGCTCTAAAATACAGATTTCCCAGTCTACGCCATCAAGGCACTAAGAGATCACCCATGTTCATGGAAATTTCAAGGGACAGCCCATGAATGGGTGAATGCCTGACATCAACGCAATTTCAAAGTCAAGGTATCTTCAGACAGTTGCTAACAGTTGTAGAGTCCTTTTCTTAGAATACATGAGAACTGGGGCAGAAGAGCATTTACTGCTCTACCAGCAGAGGCTGGTGCTGGCTACTCATATTAAGAGCTTTTAGAAAAAAATATTTTGCAAACAAGTTCTACAGCAATATTAACAGGCTGATAAAATGGCATTAGAGCAATTACTTTCAGCAAGACAGCACTGTCTTTTATCAAATCTAGATATAAAAAAGCAGAATATAAACATAAGATCCTTAAGCGTTCAAGAACATCCTAACTAAAAGCATAAAATATTCTAGTCCTTCCTGCTACATGAAATATTTTTAAGCCACATAAGGTGCACCTCAGCAAAATCAAAATAAAATGTATACTATATAACAACCTACATAGAACAATTCAGAATAGCTTTAAAGGAAGACAATTGCTGCAGTGTTTTTAAACAGTTTTCTGTTGACAAACAGAAGGACAAAACCGAATCTCCCCAACAACTGATGGCAAAGCTTTAATGACTGCAGCATG